TGGCTTCCTACTTATGTGGTGAAGTGCAACAAACAGTATAGGTATGTTTTCATTCTTATTTTTTTTTTTTTAATGGAACGCTTCATGAATTTGCGTGTCATCCTTGCTCAGGGGCCATGCTAATCTTCTCTGTATCGTTCTAATTTTTTTAGTATATATGCCGCCGAAGCAAGCACTGTCATTCTTATTTTTATGGTGTTAGTTATTCGTTTGTTTTTCTGATTTTGAATACATGTGTATCCTTTTCACATAGACACATTTTTGAAATGGATATAAATGATTTAAATGAGGATATTTTCAAAAAGTACATCTTAAGCAATAAATGTTGGTTCATTTGTTGTTTTCAATGAGCTATTGTTTTTAAAATGCTTCAGCCCATTCATAAAATATTTATTTTTAGTGTGATAGACTATTACTTTCAGATATGCAGTGTATAAGATTTTGAAATTTATTGAGTTTTCAAAAAATGGAAGTTTGGTTATATTTTTCTTGTTCTTTTACCTGCTGTGTTTTTATGTGCCTTTATTTTCTTCCTATTGCTTAGAGGTTCCGTTTAACATCGTGCTGAGATGACAGACGCAGGCAGAAAAATGTTGATAGTGCTTTTGTGCATATCCTACTTCATTTTTCCTGATGTAGAAATTAGACTCTAAAGGGAAATTTTGTACTAACCAGCTTGGACCACATTTGTTGATTAAATTTATCAGTTAATTTCTAATATGTGACATTTATGATATATTTTTCATTGATGGATAGGCCTGGTGTGAACAGTTTTTGTATTTTCTTAACAGTCGATTCAGTAATGTTTTAATTAATTGTTTTGTTGTTTTTGCAGCTTTGACTGCCTATACTTACCTGACGATTTTTGATCTTTTTAGGTAAGTTAAAAAAAAAATTCTCTATTTTTATTGCCGGAGATAATCTTCAAACCTTAAACCTCAAACTTAAACTATTCCCTGAAGTCATTTTTCAACCAAACAATGTAAAGATATGTCAAAAATAGTGCTACAAAATTATAGAAACTTTTATTGGACAAAAATATGAGAATATAAGGCTATTGTTTCTTTGACATATCCTCCGTCTATGTCTTTATACTTCAGAAAATGATGCTTCCATCTCTCTAATCCTTTTCTGAATTGTTCTGTGCACTTTTATTTATGCCCTGTTAAAATGGCAGTCTTAGCATCTTTGAGGAACACAAATTGTATTCCTTTGAAATATTCTTAGAGTGTAGGGAACACTAAGATGTCTGAAAGGGCAAAATCAGGAATGGTGGATGGAGTTTTCCCAACAAAATTCTCTTGACATCCCTTGCTACCCTCAAAGAATGAGCTGGGGTTTTGTCGGGTTGAAAACAATGTCTAGGCACAATTTCCTGGCTTTTTTGTCACCGGTGCAGTTTTCCATTTTCTTAAATATTCTTCCTAATAAGGCCCTGTGATCATCCCAATAAGGTCCTGTGAGAAATCCTTCTGAATTGCCTCTGTGGGATCTCAGCAAACTGTCACATAACCTTTTAAGCTGACCTCCTTGCTTCAAAATGAATGGCCCACAGATCTCCTCGGGAGCTAATGCTTTGATTGGACTTTAAAAAATTAATATAAGCCATTTTATTGACTTATTATTTATATACCATACAATGCAATGATTTGAATATATTAAAGAGTTGTGCAATTATCACCACAATCCATTTTAGAACGTGCTCCGTTTTGTACTCATTGCCATTAGCTCCCCATATCCCCCCAACCTTCTCTGCCAGATCCCTAAGAACTGTCATTCTAGTTACTGACTATATCCTGCATTTCATATTAAAAAGGTCATTAAAAAAATCCCTAACAACAGTAAGAAAATAGAACACAGATAAAACTCAATCCAAAAGAAAGTAGAAAATAAAAAGTAGAAACTTGGAAACCCACAGGGAGAGTTCTACCCAATTCTATAGAGTTGCTATGAATCAAAATAGCAACCGTGAGTCTGGTGGTTTTTGTTTTAAAAAATCTATCTGCATTAATTCACTTTCTGATGCACTCTGTCTGAGGGCATAGATATTCACATCCCTGGTCTGTGGTCAGAGGGAATTCTATGGAGGCTTAATACTCATGGGATTCTGAAATGAGACTTACTTAGGTTTTCACTGTCATCCATAGTCCTCTGCAAACTAGTTGCTCAGAATTTAAGCTCTAATACAATTCCCTCCTCTGATCTTGGAATTGGACCTTTATATGAAGGCACCCAAATGAGACGATGACAAGTGTTATTATTGAGAGAACATGTCTGTCGCCACCCACTGATTATGGAGACATATTTAAACACATGTTGTTTGGAATAAATCTGTGCATATCGTTTATCTTAATTACTAAAATATGTCTGCCTTGAACATTGTGTTGTTTCAAAAAATTGTTTATATGCAATCAGATTGAAAAACAACTTAAAGGGCTAGTGGAGAAACTTAGGGAGCAGCGTGTTAACGTGGAATGCAGTACAATATTTGAGAAAAGAATGATCGTACAACCTAAAGGGTATTGTCAGTGTTTCCTGGGTTGTACATATTGAAATTGTTGAAATGGTGTTATCTTTTGCTCTATGTACATAGTTTCATTAAAGCAAAAAATTAAATGTTTTAAGGCTAGTAAGGAATTTTTGTTGGATTCAACTTTTGAAGATGTTTTCTTTGTTTACAGGAAGGTAGTTTGATATATATATTATATATATATAATATTGGCATAGAACACATACAGAAATACAACAATTAGTAGAGATAACGGAAGAAAGCATCCCATTTAAATTGCTGGGTCTTTTCTCCCATAGAGCAGCTGGCAGATTTGAAACACTGACCTTGCAGGTGAACGTTTAACCCTGGCGCCACCAGCACTCCATCAAACAAGCCCTACAGAACAGTTCTGTTCTGTAACAGATACGTGGGAGTCAACTTGTCAGCCACAGTTGGGTTTGGGTTGTGCATTGACTCCAAATCTAAAACTTTCTGGGGAGGACTTTGACCTCTGGAAGAGTTAAGCTGTTGCCCAGGAGCAGAATCATCTGATCAGATCAGAAGCGTTGACTAACTGTGCAGACAAGAACAGAAATGAAGGACGTTAATAATTGTGACACGAGCGAGAGAGAGAATCTTACAGCTCCCTGCTTCATGGGCACTTTCTGGTTTCCATTTGAGAGCTGTAAATTACTTAGACTTTGATATCTCTAAGATACTTGGCATACATTATAAGGATGCATTTTCAGTAATTAGGTAACTAAACCTACTTGATTACATCAGAAAGAGATCATTGTTCCTAGAATTTCACACTGCAGCAGATTGTTGTTTTTTTTTTTTCTTATCACAATCCATTTTTTTATTTTTTTTTTATTAGGGGCTCATACA